CATTAGGCCATTTCTGGAATTTAGGCTATTTTTTAACATGGGCCTTCTTGGATTGGACCCATAATAGGCTTTGGGTTCCATTTACGATTTTGGGCTATATTGGGCTTTTGGAGCTTTTGGGTTGGGCTTTGGTTATTGGTCCACGTGAGGAAAGAGTAAAATGGTCTTTTACCCTAGAAGTTGGATAATTGAATGAGATTCATAGTTTAAGTTTACGGCCTAACTTATTATGTGGGTTTATTTGATTGGTTAGCGTGGGGACCTTCCGGATCAACAGTTCGAGCTTTTATCTGAGATATTCAGCAGCTTGAGGTGAGTTTTCTCACTGTTCTTGTGGGCCGAAGGCACCAATGTTGGCCCATGGTTTATTATGATTAGGATACTAGTTGTATGTGTGACTCATTCATGTATGGTATGTAATATGGATATCGGGCGAGGCCTGATGAGTGTATTGTATGCTATTTGTCATAGCGATTCTTGCATGTGTTTTATGTGTCTATATGAACGTCGGGCGAGTCCTGACGAATGTGATGAGGCGGGGCCCATCTCATTGCAGACATATTTGTTCTAATCGGGGCTCGGTGTCGGACAAGGCCCGATGGTTGTTGGGCATGGCTCATTATATGTTTGGTATGTATGGTATGATGTATTTTGGGGAACTCACTATGCTTCGTGGTTACTATGTTCACTTTATGTTTCAAGTACTTCCAAATCAAACGGGATGAGCTCGGGATGATCATATCACACACACTACATTGTTCTGCATCTTATTAGACTCTAATGTAACTGGATGATTATTGATATACTCTAATTTCATTATGGTTTTTATGAAACATTTTGTATGATGCTTTTATTATTCTAAAAATTAAAAAATTTAGTCTTAAATTTTGGGAAGTTTCAACTTGGTATAAGAAACTTGGTTTGAGAGATTCTAGCACACTCTCGGGTATGTCTAAACTCAAACTGAGGATTTAATAGATTTTTATAAAAGGTGTGGGGGGATGGGGACATAAAAAAGGAAAGAGAGAGATGGGGTTTCTCTTGCTTTTGGCACATGTTTTATAAAAAGGATTTTCTAACAAAAGAAATGAGTGTGGTGCATGCAATCGACCGAGCTCAAGTAAGTTTTCCTAAAATACCCATACATGTTTTTTAATTATGCTTCGAATTGTGAATCTGTGAAACGCATGTTTTTTAATTAGCTCATTAAACTCTAATTAACCTAATTGGCTAGTATTTAGGTCAGAAACCCTAATTAGGGTTTAAAAAACCCTACTGTCATTAAACCCTAATTTTGGAATTTATCACGACCCGCATTGATACTATTTATTAGACTTAAAATATTAATTAATAATCATTTGCAATTAACTTAACGCAATATTGGAATTAATGGATTAAGTGCTTAATGGGCTAAGTGTTCATACTTAACCCTAATCGTCATTTTATGTGAAAACCCTAATTTTATTTGGGCTTTGAGTTAGGCCTTTCTTTTGGGCTTAGGTGGTTGGGTTCTTATTGGGCCATCTGAGAACACGTGTATGGATATGATATGTGGATGGGCTTTAAAATAAGGCCCATGTAAAGGGTTTGGGCCCAATTTGGAAAATTGGGCCATATATTGAGCCTTGATTTATTATTTGGTTTTTGGGCCTCCAGAGTTTAAGTTTGGGCCTTGGTTTTGGACCAAGCTAGGTTAGGGGAAAAAAATCTCTTTAACCCAAGTATAGAGTTATGGTTATGCATTGGAACCCAAATATTAATTTGGTGTTGTTTTGATGTTGACAGTTCGTGGATCTGTCAGCCAGCAGCCATAGTTTTACCCACGGGACTTCAGTAGTGTGAGGAGAGTCTCCTCACTATTCAATGGGTCAAAGGCACCAATGCCGGCCCATTTCATTTGTGTATTGTAGAAGACCAAAGGGTGGCCCTTGGCAATCTGTATGCAATACCAGAGTCTGAACTATAGCAGTTAATTGGTTAGTAATGGTAGAATTGTATGTTAGTTGTCTTTGTGATGCTTGTATGGAAGACCAGTAGGTGGCTCCTGGCACTTGTCTGTAAGACCTAGGGTTGTGACCCCTGGCTTGGCAGGGAAGACCACGAGGCGGCTCGTGGCATAATGGCAAGACTATGGTTGGCACATAACACTCCTATTGATTGTGATATATGTATTATATCTATGGCTCATGATTATGTACGATATGTATGGCTCATTATTATGTATGATATGTGTGGCTCGTTGATATGTATGGTATGTGGTATTTGATAAATTCACTGAGCTTTGCAGTTACAGTTTTGTTTATGGTTTCAGGTATTTCCGGTTCGAAAAAGGAGGGTCCGGCTTGATCGTAACGCATACACCCACGGTTTCTGCAATATGTGATTTTGGGATTAAACTTTGATAAATGTTTTACTTAGCAATGTTATTTTTAAATGTTTGGAGTAAGTAACATAGGTGTTTTGATTATGATAAAAATGAAATTTTTGTCCTTGATTTTTGGGTGTTACAAGTTGTTATCAAAGCCTTGGTTTGAGGGACTCAGGCATACTCTCAGGTGTGCCTGAACTCAAACTAAGGGTTTGGTGAAAATATTTATAAAATAAACATTTAAATAAAAAGGAACTTCTAATCAAAGAAAGGGGTGTGAGCTTGGAATCGGATGAGCTCAAGTAAGTGGTTCCCAGAATACCAATACATGTTTGTCATGTTATATGCTATGATTATGAGAATTGCATGCTAGATTAAGGCTAAGGGTCTGCTCGGTATTTCATGATAGGAGAGATGCCTTTATATGCCTGATTGTATGAGCTTTAGTATTTCATGCTAGTATGTATATCTGATAAGTGGATAGAATGGTTGGATTAGAGTATGTTGGTTAGGTTTTCCATTTCCTGAATGTTGCTTACTTTGTGCTTTGTGGGGATCTTAGCAATGTGAGTTAGCTACCAAGTGAATATGCTAAGTCACATGTAGCATAGGCTGGATAATCTTAGAGTGATGGACTTGACCCTATTACACAACTCTTTTTTGAGTCCAACCCTTCTAGGATTGAGTCTTTTACTCGAAGGATTATCTTACCTCTGTTGCATGTGACTATATTCATGAGGTAGCTAATTGACATTAATGAGAATCCTTCAGTGGGTGAGGGCAAGGTGAGGTCGGGAACCTAGGAAAGCCTAGGATATGCTTTAGTGGGTTAATAGTGCATTTTAGTGAGTTTTGGGTGCATTAGTTTGAGGAAGTGACTTAGAGGATTCGGGATGATTGTTGACGAAAGTATGGATAGGTGTGGAAGGTAGTATTGGGTCCATACTACTGAAAGCACAGGATCCATACTCGAATCGGTAAGAGTCTCAGAGAATCTAAGAAGCTGATGGGAGGAGGATTCTTGGGTATGTTCTGATTGTTGGCTTGTCGTATTTCAGTTTGGAGATGAGCTCTCAGGGAGATGGTTCAGGATCGGGTTGTGGTTCGGGTTCTGGCTCAGGTGCGGTTGCTGAGCCGACTAATGAGTAGTTATAGGAGTTCATTTCATATGAGATTTCTCGCTGTGTTTCGGAGATATTGGATGAGCGCTTGGGCATGTTCCGTGCGGAGGTTATGGCTACCATTGGAGCTTGCACTTTGTCTTTCTGGGAGTTCCGTGCTTGTGGAGCTCCTACATTCCATGGAGAGACGGACCCCATTGTCAGTAGGAGGTGGTTAGCAAATATGGCTAACCGTTCAGGATAAGTTTCTGCTCCGAAGAGGCGAAGGTCAGATTTGCTTCCTGCCTATTGAAGGACAGGGCACGAGATTGGTGGGAAGAGGTTGGTAATGAGTTGGGTGATGATGTTGTTGACAATATGTCATGGGATGACTTCTCGACCAGGTTTCGAGCTGAGATTGTACCAACGATCGAGGTACAACAGTTGGCTTGAGAGTTTCTGGATCTCCGCCAGATTACTAAGACTGTGACAGAGATCACTGCCAAGTTCCGGGAGAGGGCTTTATTGGTACCGCAGTATGCAGCGGATGTGGAGATGAAGAAAGCAAGGTATCATGATATGTTGCAGGATGATATCATGGAGTTCATGAGTATTTCGGGGTGCAAGACTCCAAATGATATAATCTCTAGGGCCCGAGAGCGGGAGATTGATTTGGAGCACATCAGGAAGAGGGGGTCAAATCAGATGCAGACACTGGAGGGTCCCGGGAAGAGACCCAATACTTCTGATCAGCATTTAGGAGGCCAGCAGGGCCGGAGTCAGTGCAACATGTGCGGGAAACTGCATGATAGAGTTTTAGAGGGGTATTCACGACTTGATTGAAAGTCAAAAGCGCAGTCACTACAAAAGTTCTCTTAACATCCTCCATCCCCAAGTCCTATTGTCCCTTTATGTTGATAATTTTAATGTCATTAAGCCACTTAGTATAATCGATATTAGTTTCAAATAAGTTGAATTCAACTTTAGCTATAATACAAGCTTGCAAGTGGAGAGTGCACACTTGAATAAATTAAACTGACAACGATCACATTGGCCAGTCAATGGGGCATCCCAACACAACCAAAACCAATCGTCAATAATTTCAACTAGTATATATTAATTATAAAGAATGAAAATAAGAAAAGAATAAAAAACAAAAAAGGGAAAATTAATCACATTAGCTCTTTTTTACTAATTGGGTAAGTGAGAGGGACTAACCATACCATAAATTAAAACGTAAGGATTGTTGGTGCCAGATTTTCAAATTTGGACTTAAAACGCAATTTTTACTATACTTTAAGTACCATTTCTGTAAATTAGTAGAAGAATGAAATGTCTTCTGAGTAAAATCTCAAAGGGCGCTTTCGTCATTTCGTTTTCAAGACGCACTCTGAATTCCTGGCCACAAAAAGATCTCCAACTTGCCGTTCACAATGTCATGATACTTTCGCCTCCTCCGAACCACCTCCACGCCACACGCACACGCTACTATTCCGCCGGAGACAACCATCGCCACACATTAATTCCACTTTATGGCCACTGGAACCAGCGCCAACGTGCCGACGCCTCACGTTATTGGCTCCACCGTCGTCGAGCTTTCCAGAAACAGCCGCACCTTAGCTCCGTCGCCGCTGGTTCGTATTTCCTGTAAGAACAGCAGCAACAATGGACTTTCAATTCGAAGCAGCCACATCCGTCAATCTTCATCCAAAGCCTTACTCGAGGGACCTTCGTGCTTGTTCGTCGGTCCGATCGAAAGCGCAAGCCAGGAAACCCTAGAAGCTCTCTATCGTCAAGTACGTATCTATTTCAACAATTAAAACCTCCGAAATTGAATTCCCGATATGATCAGTTACTAATTTCCTTACGTTTCTCGAATCATCTGATATAGGCGCGGGATGCTTACTATAGTGGAAAACCATTGATAGTTGATGACATGTTTGATAGAGTAGAGGTAATCTCAAACTCTGTTTACAATTGCAGCTATCAATCTTCATTTCATATACTTACTTTCAGAAAAGCAATTGAAACAGTTGAAGTTACGGTGGTATGGATCAAAGTACGTTGTGAAATATCCACGTTGCAGTTTAAGGCAACACTCAACTTATGCTGATGCTGAGGTAATTTTTTGTATGAAAACATAACTACATGTAAATTAAATCTTCCTCCACTTACACTAAAACGTTATATAACATGGATGTAGGGCAGGAAGATCCTTCTCAGGTTTTTGCATTAGCAAGTGTGTGGTTATTGTTTCTTGGATTTGGAAGCTCTGCGTGTCTAGTGCCTGTAGTTTACACTTTTGGCCAAGCTTTTAAAGATGCCATAGATTCAGGATTGTCTATCAGTAGTCAAGCTCCTGTTCTTGAGTTGATTGCCATGATGAATGGCATGCTTGTAATGATGCTGGGATCCATGATTGGCTATCCAGTTGCTTCAGCTGCTGGTAATAACTTAATTTCAAGATTTACTCAATTAGAATCGTCTCATTCACATCCTCAAAAGATTGTTTTACATTTTCAATTTCCCCCCTTTTTAAAGCTCTTTTTAAATTCCAACAGTTGGAGCTCTTAAAGGCCTTTGGAAAAATGACTTGGTGGCAATAAAAGGGGCATGCCCTAATTGTGGGGAGGAGGTTAGCTTTTTTTTACAATTTTTAGGGCGTGTTTGATTTGTGCATGCCAAAGAAATTTGATGGAATTGGAATTCTCTTGTATTCCAATTTCTTTGATGGATTCCATTCTTTCAAAAAATCATTGCTTTAATATGCAGGTATTTGCATTTGTGAAATCGAATCAGTTTAGTAATTCCCCACATAAAGCTGAATGCCATGTATGTGAATGCTTATTAGAATTTCGCACAAAAGTCGAGGTAAATTGTGTAAAATTATACTATTATGTTCATGTTACAAGAAAATGTTTTGTAAATTTGTTTGTTTTGTACACAGAAATCAATTGCAAGCCCAGGGAAAAGATGGGTTTATGGTCGAATATATTTGATCAGAAGAAGACGAACAAACAGAGGACAAAGATGGACTTGATGATATAAATTATTTTTGCATATCAGATCATTCCTATTTTTAGACAAAGATCTCAAGCAAGTATAGCAACAAATTTGTAAAATGTGAATTGTAGCTATTATTAATGAACTAGATATCTAGTAAATACAAATTACATAACTTGTTGAATTGTATTATTCTTTGATAAATTTGTGCTTTGAAAACACAAAGTAGAGAACAAATATAAATAGAAAACATTTTATTGCAACAAGCATCAAATCAAATTGAATATAATATAATTGCACTCTACATTTATATATGCTAACAAAACCGTAGCTATTAATGAATCAAATGTCTTACACATGTTGCAAATAATATGATGAAACGATCCAGATCAAAAGTGAGCCAAGCTGTATACCAGAGTCCAAGCCAGCTGAATAAACAAATAAATAAATAAAGACTTAATGTATATATGTGTACCCTAAAACAAATGATTAAACATGAATTTTTTTTTTTACCAGGAAGAGTGTTATTGAAGCAAAAAGACCCTCTTGGAGAAGGGATCCATGTCCACCAAATTCTTCTTCATCGACCTTTAATATGATTGCATAATATCCGTATATAATACCAGAAGAAATAAGCAGGAATCTGAAACCAAAAACACTACATGTTAAGAAAAGTCTACATGGATGCCACGTCAGCACACAAGAAATAGTTGGATGGTTGATATAAAGCAATCAACTTACACAACAATCCATATGCCCCCAACCAATGGAACTGAACCCCATATCAATCCACATACAAGGGCAACTATTTGTCGAATCCAGTGAAGTGCATCACCTAATTGGTCCTGCATTGAATGGATCACAGGAAAAAAAGTTCATAACTGTAACCTACTTTTAATTTGTTATTTTTTTTTTAAATGATTAAAGGTAGAAAAAGCATCTAAAGATGAGAAGACTGGATTCTCATGGAATACATTTATAGAGAAACCAAACCACGACTAATTAGCAAATTAAAAGAAAAGTACATAGCACATATTGATAGCAAGAAGAAAAAATGTTGCTATTTTCTGTCATTTTCCCAAAAATCTATCCCAGATATATTCTCTCATTCATACCAAGATTGATAGACAGTTAGTGCTTATAAGGTAGCTCAGGTTAAATTCAAGGCATATAAATATATAATAGCCAAGGTAGAGTCAGCTAACATTGATACTTGATAGAAAAAATTTTCTTTTTAATTTCAATAAAGAAGCTTCCTGCAACTCCGATTGGCACTCATATGATCTTCTTATTTTCCTTCTCAATTTGTTATGTACCAGAATAACCATGTAAATTTATTAGCGCAAACATTAAACCATATATTAATTAGATGTCATAATCTTGCATCTAGATTCTAGCGTTCAACGCGGCGAGATGCTACTTGTCTAGTTTGCAGATAACATTAACCATAACTAATAAGGTGTCATAAATTTTACTCATGGAAACCAGCAAGAACATGGAACCTAGAAATAAATCGCAAATCAAATTCCTCAACAGAGTAAGGTTTACATGTGAAATTTTGCCACAGCGTAACAGGATCAAGGATGGAAATACATTGTGACGATCATTATTTGATGCATAACTTTATGAGAAACACGAAAATAGATTGAATTCAGAAAGCAAACCTTGTCCCAAAAAGCTTCTGGATCGAACAATTTCTCAAACTTTAGAGGAGAAACGTGGCTGCTATGAAGTTTGAGGCTTGATTTTGGTGATTTCTTCTCTTTAACAGCCATAGTATAGATGATGATAACACAAAGCGATCGTCACAGGAAGAATTCGATGAAACAGATAGAATCAGAACAGATTAAGATTCGAGAGTTAATTCACGGGACTGATTATCAGTGAGCAAATTAGGGTTTTGCTCTTTGTACCCCTCGGCGATATAAACAAAGCTTGTATTCCAAATCCAGACTAAATGATTTATAGTCAAATCGGAATACTCCCACCCTTCAAACACCTATTTTCCGAAAATAAAGTTGTACATGGGTGTTACTGGGGTTTAAAATTTATTGGTTTTTTGAAAAGCTAATAAGTCAAAAAAGAAGTGTGTGGTAAATTTAAAAGCATTTTTCAAAATGGTTTTTCCATAAGCTTTAATAAGCACTTTTTAGTAAGCATGGAAAACATGACTTTTTGAAACTGCTTATAGCTTTTCAGCCAAAATAATTTCAAAAAACACTTTTTAAGCCAAACACTTTTTAACTTATTGACTTATTGGCTTTTTCACTGTAAAAGCTTATCCAAACACTTTTTAAAAAACTCTTTTTACCACCACTATAAGCAAATAAACACTTTTATATAAAAGCACTTTTCTAGTTAAAAAAGCACTCCCAAACACCCTCTATATGTATTTAGTTATGAGAAATTAAATATCCCCCAACTTGAAAGTGTTTTTAACATCGGATAAATAAAAAATTAACTAATGAGATAACTAACTGATGCGTTTGTTTTTATTTGGTCACTTTTTTTTTTATGTACCCAAAATATTATCGAACTTGTTATTTGTGTTCATTATAACCCTTTTTATAGGCTTTTGACATGTGATAGCCGGTTAAAAGGTTATGATGAACACAAACAACAAGTTCGATGGTATATTGAGTACAAAAAAAAGAAGGAAATTAACCAAATGAGAACAAACTCAACAATTGGTTACCCTCCTGAGTCATTTTCCTCGAAAAGTTAAATGAAATTAAAGTTACAAAATTATCAAATACCGCAACCTTCTTTGGCCATAATATATGTAAAAAGCATTTTGGATGGGTAACTTCATTAAAACATGGTCTATGCTATGCTTACTGTGGTTAGCTGTCAACATATATCTACAAAAGGATATGACTGTATATAAGAGGTATATTTATCTGCATAAATGTTTACCTCAAGGTATATTATGGTGATGTGTCTGCAAAAGCCGCATGATATTGTACATATTAATGTTGTACTTATCCCATGAATTCAATCTTAAAGTTAAGTAAACTCAAAAATCACAACACTTGTGATTCCTCTCGTTTGTAGACTTGTCTAGAATCCACGATACATTAAATCATTTGATTGAAAATGTAAATGTAGTTATGAAATGCACCTGATTAGTCAAGATTCCCCTAATAAATATTCAAGTGCATTACAAAGTTGTACATGTATGAATAATGTTTTTTCGTGGGTTATGTTTTGAAGAGAAGCAAGAATGAATCTCATAAAGTTATTAATATCAGCAAGAGATGACATGGGATTTACTATAACATAAGTAAAGGGAAAATAAATCAGGAGGGTAACCAACTGTTGCATTTGTTCTCATTTGGTCCATTTCCTTTTTCTGTACTCAATATACCATCGAACTTGTTGTTTGTGTTCACCATAACCCTTTGACCGGTTATCACATGTCAAAATCCGGTCAAAAGGGTTATGGTGAACACAAACAACAAGTTCGATGATATATTAAATACAAAAAAAAAAAGGAAAGGGGCCAAATGAGTACAAACGCAACAGTTAGTTACCCTCAATAGTCATTCTCCCAATAAAAAATAACTAAACAGAATTAGCATGTAATATTGAATGAATTGATTTTTTTATACCTAAAATACAGTTTTATCGATTTTTTAAAGAGTAAATTATCTATATGGTTAGTATTCGTCCATAGGTGTAGTCTTAAATTTTTTATAGAATCATTTTCAGAACTTCTAAGGACAATTTTTATAATTAAGTTAAAAAGTGAAATAAAAACCTAAAGGATAAAAGTTGGGGTGAACATCTCGATAACTGGATCGAGAATCAGACCTGGACATGGTAAACATCGACAAGTCTGGTCCAAGGTCCACTAATTTCTACAAAACCGCTTTAGTCCAAGAACTGGTCCGGTTCGATCCAAATGCTCACCCTGACATTATAGAACCGAGAATCAAACATGGTAAGCCTCATTATATCCTATCCAAGGTCCACCAATTTCTGCATAATTGGTAAGGTCTAAGAGTCGGTCGAGTCCAAATTCTAACCCCTAGATAAAACCCCCCTCCAATGGCCTCCATCCTTAATGTTCTTCCCCTCTCATAACATCTATCTAGACCTGACAAATGTTTCGTGTTGTGTCAAATTCATGTCGTATCAAAATATTAAATGCATTGAGAGGGCTTAGTCCTCACTCGACCCGTTTAATTATTGTGCCATATCAAGTCTTTGATTTTCGTGTCGGGCTTCAGGTTAAGCTTAGACCTTATAAATATGTTACGTCATGTTAGGTCGAAACATTTTGAAGGTTGGAAAGTATGGATGAGCAAGACAAAAGGAAAACATGAAACACTGTAACTGGGAGATGAAATGACAAAATTCATAGTAAGTTTAGAGTTGGGGAGCAAAAGGGATAGATGGTGATGATAAGTAAAATTAAGTAACTTTGAAAGTTTGTATTTTAATTTAATTCTTGAGTTTTGCCCTCTACAAGTCTATAGCATATAATATAATTATAAAAATATTAAATCTATAAAAAATGATATATAATTAAACGGATCATATTCAAGTCATCTTTGAGTTGAAAGTCTTGAACCTAGCCCAATCCATTTAATGTTCATTTCACGCCGTGTCGTGTCAACTCATTTACTTAAACATATCAAAATATCTTACCCAAACACTCTAATTTCGTTTTGGGTTTGAGCCGTGTTGTGTCAGGTTTTGCCAGGTCTACATCCATCACACTCGTTGCCATATCTACAACTATCGTTGACGGCTCTAAAACCAACAATCTTTATCAACATCATTATCCTTCTCCATTCATTGATAAACCTCTATCACCTCTCATTTTCCAACCACCATTTAATGTTCATATTGGTGCAACCAAAGGATCAAGGGTTTTGTTTATGGACCATCGTTCACCTAGTCTCCTACCACTACCCTATAGGACCAAGAGTTTATGAACCGAGAGTTTTTTTGTTGGATCTAAAGCTTATTTGGAGTGTTGTGATGTTCGTGTCTTGTCGAAGGCAAAGATGGTCAGGAAAGGGGTTGAGTGCGGCCATAGTTTGAATGTGATGGTTGCAAGTGAAGTTTTTAATGGTGATGTTCTTGGTGTTTGGCAATTTTAGTGATAGCGGGCGACAATGTTGGAGTCAATGATACCCAAGGCGAATTTAAGGGCGGGGTCAATGGGATCCATTCATTTAATAATAACTAGAAGGTGATATGCGCTTCGCAACGGTTCGATTTTTTTTCATGTTTACATATTTTAGTGTTTCTTTGTTTTTGGTTCTCATTTGTTGTTTCTATTTTGTGTGTGTATAATGTTTTGAAGAGAGTAGGGTTGCATAGTAGAATATCGAATGTTTGAGGACAAAAAGCGTCAACTCTACAAACTAATATGGCAAAAGGTTGAAGAGTCACATTTGGTAAATGCCAAGGACCAAAAATGTGAAACTCTTGAAACCTTTGTGGCTAGCAGTAGAGAATATCGAATGTAGGAGACCAAAAGTACCAATTCCACAAACTAATGTGGTAAAAAGTTGAGGAGGGATCAAAAGTAACAAAGTATTGAAATTTTTATAGCAAAACTTTGAAGAATAGAAAGTATAATAAGGTGTTATGTGATATATATATATATATATATACACACACACACACACGTGATGTTTTATGGGATGTGCTTAGCACAGCCCACGAAGGGTAATTTGGAAGAATTTTTTAGTCGGATGGATTTTTAAGTAAAATGTCTTAATAAGCAAAATAATTGAACTTAAATGTTGTGAATATAAATACAAATTATGATGCTATAATTGAATGGTTTTGCAAATTTAAAATAGATTACTACCAAATTTCTTCTGGCCCAAGACCAGCTAAGAGCAGCAATTCCAGCTAGGTATAAAACATTCTTTAAATCGATAAAAAGGCACACACCAAGTTAGAGTGACTCATAAAGACAAGAGAATCCCTGAGCCTTTTCTTATTGTCACAAGCAAAATTAGGGTCGAGATTTCATTCATGTACAAAGAAATTCTCTATGTAACCTTATTGAAATGGTTTATTGTAAATTAAAAATGACAATGTTATATGAGTACTTATATGCTTACACTAAGAATCAAGTTGTAATAACTTCTTATAAGCCCAAGTTTAATCTAATAGCTAAACAAAAACCAATATTTGGGCCTTTGCTTATAGTTCTCAACCCAAATTAACCCTAGGCCAAAAACCCCATTCTTTGGGCCATATTGAAAAAGAAAACCCATGAATTTAGCCCAACAAAAACCGAAAACTCCTTGGATTAGCCCATAAGGGCCGAAAACCCTATGAGGTTTCGGGTTTGGCACAAGACAAAAAAAAAAAGAATTTACATAAATAGATGGACATCTCATGGCTTTACATTATGATATGTGCATATTTAGTCATATATTTTGTATAGAATATTAATACTTTTTGACAATTATTTTGCAATTAATGAACAAAAGGTACTTAAGTATGTCTAATTTGTATTTTCATCCTAAAAGAAGTGCTCAGAAGCAAAAGGAAGTGGGAATAGCAATTGGGAGCACGGGAAGTAAATAAAGAAGAAAAAGTCAAAAATCCTGAAGAACTTGACGAGTCAATGCCTGACTCGACGAGTCACGTCGAACATTCGTGAAGCAATAGAAGTCCTTGCCGTACACGGGTCTTAAGTGATGGACTCGCCAAGTCGGTCAATGGACTCGACGAGTCACCTTTGTTTTGTGAAAATATATATAAAGGACACTACTGCCCGATACATAGGCCTTGTTTGGAA